TTTTATCCGTGTAAGTTATCATTGTCCATTTGCACTCCTGCATTGCCTTTAATAGTATCATTCATTTATTCCAAAAAACATGAAATTAGAACTTTAAACATATTTTTAAATCAAAAAGAACAAATGAAACGAAACCGTAAATAATCTTAAATATTTATTTTTAATAACTACCAATCTGTCGCTCAATTAACTTAGCCCATTATTGTGACATTTTTATGAAAAAATCAATTTATAATTTTAAATTGCAAATTATTTTGAATACGGACCATACAATCAAATTTTATTTTTACTTTCCCGTGATAAAATGATATTTTATGACTTAGGAAAAAGCTTTTGTTTAGTTTAATAATTTAAGACATGAATTAAATTGATAATCAATCCAATCTTTGAACCATCGCCTCATACCTTCAACTATTCACCAGGAAAAAAAAGTTGTTAAAAATCAATTTTACTCATGTCTGCTAATGTCCAAGTGACAGATTGTTGTAATACTCCATAAATAAATAAAAAAAAAAAAAAAAGTATGTGTATTTTTTCCTCCTCCACCCCACCGTACGGTTAACAGTAGGCTGTCTTAGGCAATTTAGCGGGACTAAAGTCAAAATATCGATATTGTAGAATATTATTGTAGAAAAAGACACAAAAGATGTTTTAATAAATCAGTGTAGTTAGAAAAATAAGAAGTAGTAAAAAAAAATACACCAAACACACACACATATATATATATAGGTGAATATGATAGTAAACATTAGAGTTGAGTGCCAATATTTAAATATAAAGTATACTGGTTTAATACTCACAATAAAAGATTAATACACTTATTAGCTTTAAGTTGAGATTTTTTTTTTTTACAAATAAGAATTCGAACCATGGAAGTAAGCCTTTTCGATATGTTTTAACCGAATTCATAAAAACTTACGCTTGAGTAATGAAAAATATTTTAGAAATTGAATAAAAAATTGAAAGAAAGATCACTCATACAACTTTTAAAAGCTATTACGTTCCCGCAACTTTTGACAACATTATAATATACTTATTTCATGTTATTATCCGTCATGTATTTTACCTATTTGCCAATTTTAGTCCCACAGAAATCGGTTGTTTAATATTTTTCAGCTCAGATATGCAAGATATCTTATAATTTTACAAGACAAAATTTTAAGAAAAGAACTAATCAAGAATGCTATTATATAATGTTTGGATATGTAGGGAATGAATTGAAGCTTGACTATCCCACTAAATGTTTGATAGGCCTTATGAGGATCCAAGATGATATAAATATTGCAGATAACACGGGCGATGGTGCAATTTATTTACAATTAATCATTACTAAGAGTTTCGTCATTATAATTCTTTTCAACATGTTTGGTTTTAGCAAGATGATTTATTAATTTAAAACTTAGTCATTTATTAACGAAATTAATCTACAAACATAAATACACACACAGACACACACATATATAATTTTATTTGTTTTAATTTGGCAGAGGACTATGCGGACCACAAATAATATATGAAGGCAATCTTGTAATAACGTACAAACACTTAATTAAAATTATTTATTCCCATCTAACAACAAATAGTTATTAACTAAAAAATAAAATAACAACTCGTCAATGTTGACTTTTGTCTCGCTAGCTTGTGTATAGGCAGCCTACTGTGCGTCGTAATATATATTATGTGTGTTTGAATTTCTATTGCGGATCGTATGTATTTTAGATTTATTGCATTAAATGCTTAAAACATGGTACATTTATATGAATTTTAACTTGATGAAAATAAAGCTAGCAAGTTTTTATGGAGAGAAATTAATGCAGAAAACGCTTTTAAAATTTTTTGCAATTAAATAGCCCGCAAATATTTCAACTTCATCTCTTGAGCAACCTTAATATTTTTATTTTAACAAACATTAAAACAAATTGTTTTCACATAAAATTCTATTCGTTCATAATATTCGCTAATAATGATAAGGTATTCACAACTTTTCGCAACCTCTTCAGTTCGTTGCTTCTGACGAGGGAATTTTATCGTGAGAACCATGCTATAAAAATTAAAAGTAGACAAAATGCACCATAAATGTTACTCATAGGTTTTGAATGCAAAAAACAACGGATAAGAAGCTAGAGCAACTTAAAAATAGATGAAAGATGGGTACTTATAAAAAAAAATGGCGTAATCATTCGATTTTAATCAGATAACTCTTGATATATGCATTAATCGAAGAAAGACACCTCGTAAAAATTGAAGTAGTATTAAATTTCCCATTTAGTTGGTTCCATAAAGTGGTTAATATGCGAAGAGGTGAAAGATGGTTCTAGCGTGGTGGGACTTGGAGCTGTATTTCGGCAATAGCTGCCAGTTTCACTATAAAACCCTGTTCATCCTCTCCTCTCGTTTCATTTGTCTAAATTACCAACATTTACGAGGGCAATAAAATCTATTGTATATATTGAAATTGAAACAAATAAATTCAAAGTGATATATTCTGAAATAACTCTATTGAAAAACGTATAATAATTAATACATGAAATTATTATGTAATAAGTAAGTACAATTAATGATCGTTTGATGGAGGGTTGGAACCCTGAGTATAAACTTACAATCATATGAAAGTGAGATTGTGGTAAATTCTGAAATAGCAGATATAGAAATATCTTCAAGCAATGCGATGGATGACACGTTCCCCATTTCGCGAGTATTTATTACGAGTATATTTGCAGGTGTAACCGTTGCACACATTAATTTTAACTGGGACTGGAGAAGGCACCTTTGCGAAGAAATTGGGATGGGAAAGTAACATGTACGCAATTTCATCTACTTACACATGCTCTAGCTCCTCGTTGATTCACCTAATTATACAAAATAATTAAGCTTGAATCCTCTATTAATTCCAATATTTTAAAAAGGAATACTTAGTGAAATTACAATCGATAGAGATATTGGTGGAGAGAACGTGAGTTAACTGAACATGTGACTGATAAATTAAACGTGACAACAACATTACTGAATACATGATTGTAGGTACAGAAGGGTAAAGGAACAGGTAAAACGACAAATATTCCATGCACTTATGTTAGAACTACTGAAAAATCATCGATCACTTGGAGAAAATACCAATTGATTTAAAAACAAAAATAACACATCGATTTGTTATAAATAATTGAAGGAGAAGGATACTTAGTTTTTTAAAAACAAAATCCCTGAATTATAAACTGTTAGTTAAGCTCACGATCTTGATAATTCTATTTATAAATAATACAAGAATTTTAATGGGTACGACGGATTTTAGATTTTTTCGTTTTCAATGATGTAGGTTTTTGTTTTTCATTTTAAGAGTTCCGTTTATCGGCAAATGTTTAAAAATAGTATTTTTAACTTTTAAAAATTTAATTTACTTTATTTTAGTTAGACTCTACAGACCATAAATAGCTTTGGCCGCATGATATAGTTTTCCTACAGACATTTATTGCATCCGGAATAACGGACAGCCTGGAGGGAGATCACTCAACCATACGTTGCAACAAACCGTTCTACAGCAGGGGGCCACCCTGAATTCCTTAAGATTTTTTGGAGACGATTCGCAGTGCCATTTCTAATGGCTTACTCAAGTTCAAGGACAATGCATAATCGGTCTAGATCAGGAGTCACCAAACTAGGTCCCGCGGAGGTTTCTGTGATCTGGGAGGCGGATGTAATGTGGGCTATAGAGAAAATGAAGCCTGATAAAGCAGCAGGCAAAGAGGGTATTGCTTCAGTACTTATACAATTTGGAGGTCCACAATTACAGAAAACTTTAGAGGGCCTGTTTCAGAATATATTTTATTCTAAAACTATGCCTGAAGAATGGAGGCGCAACATCATCCCACCGATCCAAAAGATAGAAAGCTCTAGGGAATGACAAAATTATAGGACTATTGTCTATCCCCGGTAGTCTATAAACTTTACTCCTCCATACTGGAAAGAAAACTCAGTCTAAATCTTGAAGTTAAGAGTAGGAGCAAGCAGCTATCAGATCCTACCGTCAAACACAGGTCCACATCTTCTCACTCAGGACGAGTATTGAGAAGTCTTAAGATAGAGGAAAGAGTTTGTACTTAGCGTTCCAAGACATGAAAATACGATTTCGTACTCAGAGAGAAAATATGGACAGCTTTAGTCACTAAAAATGTTCCCACAGAATAATTAGTGCCATAAAATCTACCTAAAGTGGCTCCAAATGAGTTGTTAGAATTAACGGAAGAATGTCTGAGTCCTTCGTCATGAGAAGGGATGATAGACAGGTTGAAACCCATAGTCCTCTCCTGTTCATAATAATAATGGATGACATATTGAGAATATGCAACCGGAGGACAATAAGGACGGTCGTGGGAAGGTAAATCGTAAGGACAATACTTGCTCAAGTGATAGTTTTAGCAGATGATAATGTTCTCATTGCCTAAGAAAATCTACAACTGGCAGTAACTGAATGTGAGGCTGAGCTAGAAAGACAGGGCACAATATTAAATGTTGGAAAGACGATGGTGATGCACATTGTCCGTGAAGAGAAGGAAGTATGGGTCCGCTGCGGAGGAGAAACCTTGGAGACAGCGCAGGAATAAACTTATCTCGGAGTAGTGCTCAGCAAAAACGGGAAAATGAACCAAGAGCTATCAAACATAATTAAGAAAACTAACAGCATATTTTATCACCAATGCAGCACAGTTGTGTGGAAAAGGAAATTGGAAAAAAGTATAAAATTATATATCCTTGAGTCCATATACTTAAATGAAAGCTGGGCAGGCACTGGAGTGAGCTACTGCGACAGAAATGAAGTACCTCTGGGGGATAACAGGCAAAACAAGGAGGAACAGAGTTAAGAATGAAAGGATACGGGGCGGGGGGGGGGGACCTAGGAGTGCCGTCTTTGAGGGAAACACTCGAAAAAAGGCAGTTGGGATGGTTTGGTCATCAATGCAGAGTGGATGAGTACCGTGATCCAAAGAAGTTTTTTGAGGCCAGGCCTACCGGACGCCTCCTCGGGGAAGATCTAGTTTCATATGGATGGACCACATCTCCAGGATAGGTGAAAAGAAGAGGAAGCCTATGAATTCAATGAAAGCGCTTGATCGGGATCGGGTGGCTTGGCAGTTCTGGATCGGAGCACCTCCACGCTGAGGAGCACTAAACTCATAAAAAAATTTATGAATATAATAATGAATAAAGAAAAAGAAAATTCCGGATTAAGATGCAGAGGGAATAGTTATCACTTCTGCGCACGAGCAGTGTGAGGTGTCTCAAGTAGACTGACTGGTTTTACCCAGGAGGAGGATAAAAGTGTATTTTTTAGTTATGAGTGGTGGCCCATCCATTTTCTTAACAACAGTGACGTTGAACGATTGGACTTTCATAACCATTACGGCCCTTATAAACCAGTATATATACATATATATATAGGTTAACAATAAAACGCCGAGAAATGATGTACGCGCTGTCTTAAGAAGCAATCATCGCGAGAAAATAAATAAATATAATGAATATAATGTAAAATATAATGAACTCTTCCTACATCTCTCTTAGTGAGAAATAAAATAAAATTTGTCTCTATAAATGTTAATGTAAATATATGTTTAAAAATGTGAGTGGTACAATGAACCCTAAATGAAAACGCAAATCATGAAGTACTTTGTGGCTCTTATAAAAATTCAAAACAAATTCATTGATTTTTAATTAATAAAAATACAATGGGGGCCTTTAAAATGATTAATTTCAGATCTCATTATTCGCAGGATTATTTGATAAAAAGTCTATAATTAAAGAAGCCGATATAAGTATATCTTAAATATAATTTCCAAAACAACTCCACATACCGGCCAGTTCGAAAGGAGCAGTGGGGTAAAGACACCTATTATTGACACCTTACCAATTATTGACACTTATAACTTAAAATTGATAAAATAAGCGTTTAGGCATATGTACGATTTCAAACTTGGTACCATTTCAAAGGTATATTAATCGGCCTCCGATTTCCGCCTTGGCTGATTGATATGGTGATGCATCAGGCGGAAACGCATATTTCTGATCACTTCACGTCAAAGGTTGAGGCAACATATTACCTAATTTGTCTCGTCATCTAATGTTTATGAGCTTCAATTCTTTTGGCACATTTTGTTATTACCGCTTGATGATGTGATACCATTTTCAACCGTTAATTTCGATAAAAACAATAGGTGTTAGCGGTATCAATAATTGGATCTTCATAATTACAAGCTTCCTCAATTATTGACACAAAGTCGTTTATATGCCATTACAGTTTTTATTTTCATTTGTAACAGAATAATTCATTTATTTTGTAAAAATAACAAAAGTATCCAATTATTGACAAGCTGTATATATCAGGTTCGCTGTGGTGTCAATAATTGGTTTAGACCACTCCAGTTATAGACAGCTTGAATAACCAATTGTTGACACCTCTCATTTATCACATAATTTGCAATATTGACGGCACCTACCGTTGTCAGTTTGGTGGGTAGGTTAGCAGACGAATGAATATGTTATTCGGAGGATCAAAAATTTACTATAAGAAGAGAACAAATGCCTGACAAAGATAGAGAAAAAAGAATGCAAAAAGAGCCAAATTTTAGCAGCTCTCAATGTTGTGAAAAATGGTATTGTAGTTGCAATTTTTGAATAGAAGAACATTGAAGATTGCCAGGGAAGAGAAACACACGAAACAAGTTGAAATATCGGCTGGAATGGACCCATATCGGACAATAAGTAGGGGTGACTTCATCACAGCCACAATAAATAAAAAAAGGAAAAAGGCAACCATGGCTTTTCGAGTTTTCAGGGTTTCAGTAGGAAAGTTAGCTGCTAACCCTCAGAGCATAAAACAGACTGAAGAACGTTGTTTTCCAACTTGATGAAGATGAGAATAGTCAAAGAGCATAACATAATCACCAAATTGCCAAAGCACCTAGTTTTTAGAAATAAAAAAATCTGGTGAGCAGATTATACAACTTTCAATTACCACTCTACTTTGAATATAAATTATTTTATGGCAATGTTGGGCTATTGTAAAATTATACATTGGGCTTAATCAAAATCGTTAGAGCCATTATCGAGAAAATTATAAAAATCTATTATATAAAGTGGCATTTCCTGTTACCTGATTTTAAAGAAAAAGTTGCTGTAACATATACCTAACTTAAATATGTATTTTCAGCTTCCTGCGACTTTTTATTTTTCGAGCTAGACTGTTAACATACGAACAAACACAGACAGACCATTCTGTAGCACTTAGTTATTAAGACTCAGAGAACCCCAATACGAGTATTTCCGTTCAAAAATCAGATTAAAATATGTTAACGATCGCAATACTTTAACTTACTATATATTACATATATAGACAAGTGAAAGTAAAAACCAAAGAGTTCTATTTAGTTATTCTCTAAATATTGATTGAAATGTACCAAAGTATACTTACTCACTATATTACATATTTTTCTTTCTCATATCATTTTGTGATATCTAGGTACGAGTAATAAGTTTTAAAGTGTTCATATACTAATGTGTGATCATTTTGTCCCTATAAATAAAATAAAAAAATGTTGAAAATAACCTCGTTTGATGGTAGAATTTGGTGTCAATAATTGGTTACTTTTCCTGTCGATAATTGGTTTTTGCATGTCAATAATTGGTGCAAAATTTGTCATCTATCGTAGGCATAAAAAAATGAAAAATTCTTAGTATTTTGGCCAATGTATTAGTGAAATATATAGAACAGAATTGTTCTAATATGAAAAACTTTAATACATACGTATATGTTAATTAATAAAAATGTTATTGGTAAATTACTAGAAAATTATCCTTTAAGTGTCAATAATTGGTGACATTACATGATTCAGTGTGAAACATTTCGTCTTGGGGTTTTTAATTTTTGTGATAGAGTTGCGGAAATTCAAGTTAAATTTCTATGATGCTTTGCGACTAGATATTTATGTATTTATAACTCATTTTTAAAGCAAGCCAAAATGTCAAATTGTTTAATTTAAAAAAAATATATATTTTTGTACTAACTCATCCTTTTAGTTTTAGAGTGAGCTAGTAAACTAATGTCAGTTATATACATATACGGAACAAATTGATGATGCAAATAACTTTAAAAGATTATTTAATATTCATAAAAACCTATAAAATAAAAAATATGTAAACATGACAGGTAAAGGTAAATTTATTCCATTTTTTAAACTGACTGTGGAGGAAAAATTGATGCACTTTTACTTTAAGTGGATTACCAGCCTTAAATTTTAAGGAAAACCATATATTTTCCGTAACGTTTAGAAAAACCGTGTGATAGCGAAATATTGGGTCTATTCATTGTAAACTTATCTTGAATACTTATTTAAACAAACAATGGACCCGTGTTTCATATTGTTACAATTCCATTGTCGATTTTATTTTTAATTTTAAATATAAAATGGTATATTACTGGGAAAAAATAATTCAATCGTTGCCTTCACATCTCATACATCATGGAAGGTAGCATGAGTATCGTCCACATGGTTTATTCTAGGTGGAATGATGGATGATATAGAAAGAATGTAAGCAGGAATGAGTTCGTTTTGAGACGCCTGAATTATGAAATGTGATAAAAGAAAATGTTTGATGTAGCCTACCAAGTCCTGTGCGAACTGGGACGGGTCGGAATCACTGCGCAGAACCCGATGCTGAGGGGGGGGCGAGTGGGGGTTTGGAGGTCCCTCAGACTTGCTTCGCCTGCTCGAGCGATCCCTCTCCCGGTCAGCACACTGAAAAGGATCATTCCAATAGCAGCCCCAATACTTATTCCTAATATATTAACATGCAAATCAGTCATGTCTACTCTCACCAATCCTTGCAAAACAAAACTATATTTCTTTCTTTTTTATAATTGTACACATAATTGTAACATATTCATTTAATTTTGCAAACGCACTGGTAAAATGAACAATGAAAATGTACATATACATATACACACACACATAGATACATACATACATACACACACACACACACACACACACAAACACACACACACATACATATATCTATATTTCTTTTTTTTTTTTAGACTGAGAAGCAGTTCATGCATATAAAGACAATGTACACAAAAATCTAACAAATGATTCCAAAACATACAAAATGTTTGAAAATACTGTAGCAAATTCATGTAGCCAGAGTGCTACATACCGATTTTGCATGGCTGGATTTTATCTATACTAATTGTCAGCGAGAATTTTAAAACGACGTCGAGTATCGAATAGCCAAGAAACTTCTAGGGCAAAATCACGGGTTTTCAGTATCGATCTTCGTATTATGTTGTATTATCCTTTTTCTCATGAAAATACTTAATATACATTAATGATCAAAGTTACTGTCAAACATACAATAGAAATCTCTGCTTGGAAAAAATATTTAATATTCGGTTATATGATTAGGCTATTTTTGAAACTTAAAGTTTTAAACTGTGCTTATGGAAATCCTGCATATCACCTAATACCAATATAAGCTAAGATAAAAATAAATAATATAAAGAGAAGTTGGTTGGCTATTTAATTTCATCTCTGACTACCCCCCTCCAACCGACATATCCTACTATTTGATTCACGGTTAACAAAATCGGCATCATTAAAAATAAAAAATAACATTTTTCAAGGAAGAATTGATTTATAGATGACTTTAGACGCATATCATCGATAAATATCTATAGTCACTTGAATAGCATCACCTTTCCATGAAAATATATCAATATTATCCAAATACTTCCTGAGGAATTGTATAACGGAGTCATCATCCAGCTCCATGAAAAGGGAGATCAAACCAACTGCAGTAATTACCTCTAATAACTCTCCTCAATTGCACATATAATGTGTTATCTAACGTCATATATCAGAAGCTACTTCCGCATACAGAAATAGAGGTGGGATTTTACCGATGTGGTTTCATGAGAGGGAGATCTACCACTGATCAAATCTTTGCCTTAAGGACCCTGCTTGAAAGAGCAATATAACATCATCACACATCACACTTTCATAGACTTAGCCGTGCATATATGACAGGATCATTAGAGAGAGGTTGTACCAGGATATGGAAACAATGAGTATTCCCCTTTAAGTGATCCATCTTGTATATCTGCTAATGATAGGATCAAGATATCAAGTCGGAATACAGGGAGGCCTGTCAGAGTCATTCACGACCACAAGGAGCCTAAGACAAGGAGATGGCCTATCATGCCTGCATTTTAACCTTGCACTAGAATTGATGATAAGGGACACCACAGTGCAAAGAAGTGGGACGATTCTCAACAACTCAATCCAAATTCTAGCCTAAGCAGATGATGTAGATACCACAGCTGGATCATAGAGAAACTTAAAAACGACCTTCTTAGCTATAAAGGCAGCAGTGCAGGTAATGGGTCTAAATATTAACCAGGCTAAGACCAAATACATGATTGCCAACTCACCAAGGACAGCACCACCTACAGTCACATTTGGAGAATACTCATTTAAAAGCGTAAATAATTTCGTGCATCTATGGTCCTTAGTTTGTGAATAAAATTTATATGACAGAGAAGAAGCACGTCACTTAACAGGTGTTATTTTGGTCTGGCTAAAATATTAAGAAGTCATTTGCTGGCTAGATAGCTCTGTACGAATCTCTTATTAGACCTGGACTGACATATGACTCAGAGACATGGCCATTATTACGAACAGACGCCATCATATTGAAGGTTTTCGAGAGGAAATCCTAAGAAGCATGTTTGACCCTGTAAAAGTTGATAACCAGTATAGGCTAAGTAAGATATAATTTAGAGTTGTACTAAATTTACCGGGGACCGGATGTGGTGCAATTTATACGACTCTATAGGCTAAGGTGGGCTGGACGTGTTACAAGGATGGATGGGGACTCGCCAATCAAGCGGCTACTGTTCGGGTATGTGGATGCCAGAAGAAAGAGACGATGGCCACGACTGAGATCGGCAGATGAGGTCGAATCGATGCAAAGAAGCTTCTGGACTCGAGGGCTTGGCAGACCCTTGCTTAAGAAAACACAAATGGAGGCGGCGTATTAATGCGAAGAAATGTACCGGGATGGTGATGGTGACGAACACGCTGATGAGCATCAAAAACTCTATTGAAAAAAAATAATACATAAAAAATGATAAATTTAATATTTAATACACTGCTCAAGGTAAACTCACAAACACAGCTACATTTAAATAAATGTCCATCTTCTTGAGACACAATTTCTTACTGATGTGAGAAATGAGTAGAATTAACGGTTATTAATCAACTGAAGGTAATTTTTATATTTTGTACATTTTATTTTTAATTAAAAAAATATTAATGGCTAATTATATCTGTAATTTCTTTGCCACGATGTAATGATGTAGTTACGAAGACAGATTTCTTGTATCAATTATCAATTTCCAACTCGCTATTTTTGTATTTTCTTCAACTATTCTAGCTCGGTCAAAGGCATATATATTTACACATACACAAACAACACACACACAAACATACACACACATAAAATTCTTGGCCAATCGAAAGTTGGGCAATCGTGTTGATCTTTTAAAGAGTTTTGAACCCAAATGTAACTATTTATCGTTGCTGGGAAATTCGACAGCTCCGCATGAAAAAAAACTAATGACTGAAAAAAAGAACCCAATAATTTACAGGGGTGCCCAGTATGCGGTTTTATGACGTAAGATGCACCATTAAAATCTTTGAGGGGGTTACATTTTGACTGGGTTTTGAATTTTTGACGGGAGACACATTTAGACAGGGTTATTAATTTTCAAAATAAAAAGTTTCAAACCTAAGACATGGAGAAGCATGGAACAGACAGCAATAAATGTAACAGTACATAGGGTGTAGCAAGTAGAAGGAAATATTCTAGAAGTGGCAACAGACCACAAGAGGCAGACAACAAAGTTCATAAACAATTTTCAGCAAAAAAAGTAGGAAGTTTAAGATTTGTATTGTTTGTTTTTTTTAAAGTAAACCATAGTTTTTGTTAAATAGGAACGATAACTAAAAAAATGTTTTCTGAAATAATTAACGATTCCTCCACGGTAATCTAGACAAAATTCCCTTCAAACGAAAAAATAGTTAGTCAGTGTTAAAACCATTTAATGATGAATTTCGATCGGCTAAACTAAGTCAAGTTCTGTTTTTAAAAAAAATTTATAAATTATTAGTGATTTTTTTTTTTTTTTATCACCATCAAACTATGATACCATAATTTTACAAAAATCGTTTTCGTTTGATAAGCTTTAAGTCCATATACATTAAGTTGAGGTTTATTAGGAAAAAATTTGAGATACACCTCAAGGTATGAAAAAATATTTGATTTTTTATCCAGTCGCCTACAATTGCTGCAATTCATTGCTTCAAAGTTTTTATTTCCTGTTTTTTATTATATGGGACGTATTATAATAAAAATTATTGTCTTTTTATTTATAAAAGAATTAAAGATAATGATTTTTCAAATAATTTTTATTTAAAATGTTTATGGAACTGTGTTTTTCACCCAGTTCTCCATTGTAGAAATTGGTCAGCATTTTACAATAGGGCATGTTACGTCAATACTACTTCAATATTTTCATGAAAACGTATTTTTCATGTCCCAATATTAGGATTAGGAACATTTAGATGGTTACTTGTAAGTAGGGATCAGTTCCTATGATAGAGATCTGGGCAAAAATACAGTTAATAACTTTACCATAAACACTTAACATGAAAAATATTTTTTAAAAACATTATTTTTAACCCTTTTTTAAATAAATAAAAAGTTTATTTAGGCTATTACATTTATGATCATACATCATAGTTCATAGAAAAACAAGAAATAAAAACTTTGTAATAACTAATTGTAGTCATTTTTGCTGAAAAGACGGGTACTTTCAGGTGACAGGATAAAAAATCACATAATATTTTTACAATACTTGATGTGAATCTCAAGTTTTTCCCTAATTTACCTCATAGTCAATGCTCCTTATTACGTTACAAACAAAACCCTACATCATGACCTTTACATCCCTTATGTCCTTGACGTTATTCCATCCCGATTCTCAAATTTTCACATGAACCTAATCCACCATCCTAACCCTTTAACACAATCCTTATCTAGCTCCAGCCATCCCTACAATCCTCCTCGAAGGTTGAAACGGCAGTGGCCTCGAGATCTCTAGTAAAGACGTCACTGGAGTTCTGGCAATGGCCAGCTTCAAGTCATGAGTGTTTGTCGTTTTAGTGCCCTCTCTCAGTCTCCACCGGACTGGTAATGCCGGCGACGCGGTTGAGAGAGAATCGCTGGGGTCTCTTAGAGTCTCGCTTTGTTCTTCACACTTGGGAGAAAGGGCTGGACTCGGAGATCTCTTGCCTGATTGTAAATATTGTAATTAAGTATGAATGTTTTTCTATTTATTTCTTTTACTTATAATTTATTTAATTTTGCTACGAATTTCTGTATTTTATTTAATTTTAACTCTAAGTTACATTTCCTTGGTTTATTATAGTTTTTGCTTTTGTTATAAAGATGTATATATATATTTTTTTTTTTTATTGTAGTGTATATATGGTATGAATGTGCCTCACTCAGCCTTAGTACTTAGTGCCCTTAAGTGTGGCAAAATGTATTATTTCTCAATAAACAGATTTAAAAAAAATTTACCTCAATTTAATGAATATAGATTAAAATCATATTAAACGAAAAGGTTTTTGAAAAAGTGAGGTATCTGTAGTATAGTTAGATGATTATAAAACAAAAATTGAAATA